CCAACCTGGCTGTGGTGGATATGTGGGCCTGCAGGTTGCTCCAAGCAACTTCCTGGTGGACCAACCTCTCACAAGTCAAGCCTAGCCTCAGGCCGGGCTTGGGGAGTAAATGAACTCCTAGAACCCCATTGTGGTGTATGTTGCTGCTGCATGTGTGCCTCGGTAACGTGTTTCGCGGTAGTGTGTCCTTGTTCCTGTGTCAGGTTGTGGTGTGACACTTTGCTGCTGTTTTGTGCCTGGAGTTTGCATGTTGGGGTATGCTTGTGTTATTTTTTGTGGTCTTCGGGTCCGTGACTTGGCCCTTCCATATGCGTGGGGTTCTGTCCACGCCTGATTGTCCACCCTTGGTTGTGTTTCGTGGGGTTTGAACTTTGGCTCTTTTGTCCTGCCACTCCCCTGTCGCTTCCCTGGCATCTCCTTTGCTCGGTTTTGCCTGCACTTGCTGATGTATGGGGGGAGTCGGTTTCCACCGCTTCCCTTCCTTGTGCGTTCCCTTTGTTTCCTCCTCTGCCGCAGGGGATTTCTTCGTGCGTCCCTTGGCTTCTTGGGCGTTCCTTCAGCCTGTGTCATATGGTGCGCTTATGTGTCTTGGTCTGTTTTCGTTGCTCGTACCCCCTTGGCTCGGGTACTGGTCTGGTGGCAACCCTTACACTTTCGGTTTTCCTGACTTGCCTTGCCTGTTGGCTTTTCAGGGTCCTGCGATGTCTCGCATTGGACCCGTCGTTTCTGATCTCCTGGCGGGCTTGCTCGCATTGGGGAGCTTCGGCAGACATTCCATCTCCTTGTTTGCCGGCTTAGGCTTCTTTGGTGGTCGCGCCCGAGATCTTCCTGCGGCTCCGCCTCTTCCTGGGCTCGCATGAGCCTTGTCAGGACTGATTACGTTTTGTCTCGCGTGTCTCGCCTCCGGTTGGTGTTCTGGTGGCTTCGTTGTTGGTGTCCCACCTGCATTCTTATTTTTGGCGGTGGTATGGGGTATTTTGGCGGTCCTTCCTTTTCCTCCTGTCCCTTCTTAGGTGGCTGCGGTTGTTAGCGTCGGCTTGGTTTTTCTGGTGGGGGTTGGGGGCTGTCGTCTTGCCACATACTGTCGCCTGGTTTTGTGTGGCGCTGGCGGAGCCGCTTCGGGTTGCTTTCGGTCTTGGTGTTGCTTCTGCACCATTAGTAAGCTTTCTCGTCCGTTGTTTCACCTCTGGCCTGTTCGTGCGCCGCTTGCACCATCCTGGTCTCTGGTCAGCGTGCTCTGTCTTCTCCTTGGTTGGTGGTGCCCCTTCGGTTCAGGTTTGTTTTTCGACGGCTCTTTTTCCTGTTGGCATTTGCCTCCGGGGGTCGGGTCGCTGGGCTTCTTGCTCTCCTCCGCAGGGGTTTCTGCTCCTTTGGTCTTGGTGTTTTGGTTGTTCAGTGGCAGCCGTCTCCATCTTTTCTGGCACGGGATGGGGCTGCTGCGTTCCGGAGGGGTCCTTGGTTTGTTGGTGCTTGGTTAGTCGGGCTGGGGGGTGCGTCATGTTTTGTGTTCAGTGGTGGCCCTCCTCTGTTATTTGCGTGCCGCGGCCTCTATATCAGGGGCACGCTTTGAGTTGATCCGGTTTCGTTCTTCCCTGTTCGCGGGTGAAGGTCTCCCGGGTTGTCCGCCGTGTTATTGCAGCTAGCCTGCCTGTGTTCTTTCCCCATGCCCGTGGCGTTCGTGGCTTCGCTGCTCTTGCTGCCGTCTGGGTGGTGTGTCCTTGCTCTCATTCAGGAACGGATCTTTTGGCATTCGTACAGGGGCCTAGCTGCTCATTCTCTCATGTTGTTCCCGGGCCTTTTTAGGGCCGTGTCGGCTTGGGTTGGCGTTTGCAGCCGGTTGTCTCACTTCCGTTGAGGGGTGGGTGGTGACTGCTTCCCGGTTCCGTCTCTTTGACCTTCCTCTGTGGGTAATTAGCTCCGGGGAGCGATGGAGCTTCCCCCAGAAAACCAGTGTTGAATGTAATGAAACGCCATTTTCTGGGTGAGACCCGGAGGCTTCCCAGAGCTATACCAGGATGATATGCTAATGTCAGACTTTTGCATCAGTCATGTGTATGAAGTGAAACGTCATTTTCTGGGCGAGACCCGGAGGCTTCCCGGAATCCCTCCCTCCCTCCCTCCGGTCGGCGGTTTTTTGCGTGTTTTGACATCCAGCCTCGGTACTGAAGGGTGGATAGCCAGCGCAAGGTCTCTGGGGCTCCCCCTTTCCACTCCCGGGAAGTGGGGAGCTGCGCAGGCAACAGCGCGGCGACATGTGATGCCATGCTCGTTCGCTCGTTTCTTTTAGGGGAGTTCTATCCACTTGTTCGGCTTTTGGTAGCAATATTTTCGCCAGAATAGGGGTTTGTTTTGGGATGCTTACCTTTCTGGGTGCCTGACCCAGTCGATGGCAGACATAGAATGCTTCCAACCACACGGGGGTTTCTATAGGCCATTGCTCCCCATGCCTCTCTGAGGGGGCCAGGTTCTGGCTCGTGGTCCCCAGTAGGCCCACAGAACTCCATACACATGACTGATGCCAAAGTCTGACATTAGCATATTATCCTAGTAAGCTCCGGGTCGCCTCCGGGTCCCACCCAGAAAATGGCGTTTCATTACATTCAACGCTGGTTTTTTGTCATAACTCGTGTTGGGCTGATCGCAGACTTTATTTAGATCTTTAATATACTGTAACTGTAAATAGCATAAATAATGTTTCTATAATGTTTAAGTGATTTTAGATGATAATGATTCTTGATGAAGATTTTATAAAATTATTTTTGTTTGCAATAAGTAATGTTAATTTCCTGATAATACAGTATCTCCACTCTAGGTCCCTTCATTTGTAATACTCGTGTCTTGGCTCAGTTGATATAAAGTACAGTATCCACTCAATTTAACGGCCTACAGTATATGGGGCTGTACCCTAGTCGTCATTTCCGGAGCTCCGTTATTTCCGAAGTTAAGTCGGGTCGGGTAATTTTTCAAGTAACATTCAGGTAGGATATATTTTATACTGTATAACTAAAATTAAATAAAGTTCATTGTGTAATTGCGTTCCAATTTAGTGCCACGCCGACGATTAAGCCAGCTGGTGGCTGCTGCATGGATGATGATTGAACACGGTCTGATCAAGTCCAGATGGGTGGGAAAAATTTTGTTCATTCCTTTGTATTGCAAAATATTTCATGTATCAGTGATTGTTAATATTTTCTCATTAAAAATACATTACCTGCACTGTTCAGGGTAAAACAAAACATCTCTAAAATTTTATTGTTATGACACAGGCTGTGGCGGCCAGGCCATAATAATGGCGATCGAGACTTGTCACTGAGAGCTAGCCAACGCGAAATATTTTGAGCTCACCTTTTCTCTGCTAATGATAGAATATACATTTGCAGAGATTAATATGTAGCTTTTGTTGAAAAAAAAACTATGTTGAAATACTATAATAAAATTGGTAAATTGACTTACTTTTAATGAAGCTGAAGATTACGTCATCCTCTGCAGCGCTTGTTTTATATTGTTCAATACTATATACAGGGTACATACAGTATGAACACTTATTTTCAGGCATTCACTTCACACAACAGCTAGCCTTACTACTAATTCACACGAGTTCTAATTCTAATTCACAATTGAAAATTATTTCTACTGTATATTTACACTGTACAGTATCTTTTTGTCAAGGCTTAAATAATCATTAACACTTACAATACTGTACTCTATCAACACTTTTTACATTAATTTATATGCCTTTCACTCATATTTTATATCGTTAGTGGAGGCTACACGACTTTTGATGGGAATTCAGCATCAGCGGGTGCAACATGGCTTGCAGAGCATTCGTTGCTGGCAGATGCTCCATGACTTGTCGATGGGAATTCAGCATCGGCGGGTGCAGCATAGCTTGCAGAACATTCGTTGCCGGCGGAGGCTGCACAACTTGTTGATGGGAATTCAGCATCGGTGGGTGCAGCATAGCTTGCAGAGCATTCATTGCCAGCAGATGCTGCACGACATGTTGATGGGAATTCAGCATCGGCGGGTGCAGCATAGCTTGCAGAGCATTCGTTGCCAGTGGAGGCTGCACGACATGTTGATGGAAATTCAGCATCGGCGGGTGCAGCATAGCTTGCAGAGCATTCGTTGCCAGTGGAGGCTGCACGACATGATGGGAATTCAGCATCGGCGAGTGCAGCATGGCTTGTAGGGCACTCATTGCCAGCGGATGCTGCATGACCTGTTGAATTCCCAGTGGTTGCTTTCACAAACCACTGAAATCATGAATTTATCTATTTTTGTCTGAATCTGATTTTCTCTGGCTAATATTCTGAGACGTTGCTCTCAGCCGCACGTGTTAACAGTAAACAATGCGGTCACATGGCCAGGCGCAGTACGTTCTAGGTCCGTGGGGAAAAAAAACCTATTGCGTATACTATAAAAGGTATTTAATAAGAAAACAAAGAATTTTGTTTAATAACAATTGTTTTAAAATATTTTATTAATAATAATTTAGAATTTTCTTCATAAAACTGAATCATTTTAAAAGAAAGTTAAGATTTAATATACCACTCTGGATGATCGCCTGGTTGCCATGTGAGGGGCTGCCGATAACAAAACAAAACCAACAATGACCGTCGGTAATATCGACCACCAGACCGTTATAAGAGGCTCCAGATACCGATCTCCCAAACCGGTCGTTAATACCGGCAGATCGGTATAAAAGAGGCCATTAAATTGAGTGGATACTGTAGTTTAAAAATGTTTCACTTTCAGTTTTAATTCAATCCTATGTTTATCCATCACTGCCTCCTTGTAAAACCCAATCATAAACATGTCAGGCTTATGACAGCTATGTCCAATGATAGGTGATGTAATGCCTTTCTCAGTGTTAAAGTTATTAAGGTAACTTGTCAACACAAGTTACTCATCCATCCATCCTAATTATTTATTTGTTTTTAAAAAGTTGTAATTTTCTTAATAACAATCTAATAATCTTCTCGTTTACTGCCTTTCAGGGAACACACAGAGTGTCCGGTTACCTCGTGTAACTGCAAGTGTATGTCATTAGACACAGTCAGCAAGGTAGCCTCTTCGTCAGTATCTGTACTAACCAAATGATTAGAGGAGTGCCATATTGAGATGTGTAGAATTTGGTGCTAAGGCTAATAAACCAAATACAATACTGTATTTGCTTTTATGGTCTTCAAGAACTTAATAAATATTACAGTAAACATTAATTTGCACATGTAAAAATAAACACACTTGAGATGTATCAGACTACTAGTATTTGATTTATATTAAATTAAAAGAACTAGGATTAGTCATTACATACTTTACCCAAACTATGATGATTACTACAGTAGACATCTATTAATTCACGGTATTAGTGTGTTAATGGACTGGCTAGGAATTTCCATCTATTATTAAAAAGAAGAGATAGATTCTTGGAACCTCAGTCCCCACTCTCCAACACACAATAACAAAAACAGAGTTGTCCCTTTAGTCAAGTTTCCATTGCTGTAAGGATATTGGCAACACATGCCAAGCTATACATGGAGACAATAGGAAATTCTCAATCTGGCTCTGATTGATGGTCAAAATAAACATTCCTCTACATTTAAAGCATTTTTCCAGCCATTGATTCTAATAAAGTAAGGCACAAGTAATGCTGTGCTTCTATAAACTACCAATTGGCTAGTTGACAGATCAGGGGGCAGTGCTGGTCACATAAACAAAGGTGGCCAGTGATCATACTTCACTTCCATTGCAACAAGCTCCCAAAGGAAAAAGGGCATATGGTAAACTTAAATAAAAGCCACAAAGTCATACTCTAGGCAAGAACAGACAGACTTTTCTGTTTGACATCACAAACCACACATTGCAGAAGGATGCCTTTGCTCTGGGGTCTTTGCTCCAGCTGTGTAATGATTCGTCCCTTTGATGGTGCTACAAGAGATCATCTGGCCCATTCTATTGACTCCTGGTCCCATAATTCTTGGGCTTACTGGATAGTTTCCCCAGGGTCTCTGGTGGAGTAGGTTCAGCCTACCCCTCTGTTATCATTACGTTCAGGAGTGTTGGATCAAGAATCCTTCCTCAGCTCTGCATTGTCATTGCTTTGTTGTTGTTGGACTCGGTCATGGTAGAGTTAACATCTTCTCTTCGGTGGATGTCCCGGTTTTCCAGGTCCCCAAGTGGACCCAGCAGACTTATGGTACATTCCCGACCTCTTGGGATTGACATGCTTCATTCTCTGTCCAATCTTCCACACGACCAATTTAGCTCAGGTATGGCTGGTGTTGCAGACAGACTATTGGACAGTGTTTCCAGAACTTGAGGGACATGTACTGGTACATTCCTATTCACTATAGTTCCAGGACTGGTTAGGATTTCTTAAGAATAGCCAGGCTTACTGCCTCAAGGTATTGCACTTCGGCTTGAATCTGGCTGCTCAGATCTGTACCCAGGTCATTGCAAGTAGTTGTGACTGGGGGTTTGTGTCTTGGCCTATCTCGACAATTGGCTGGTCTGGGTTCTTATCCAGTCTGTGTGTCAACTAGCCATGATTCTGGTTCCATGCCAAATTTGGACCTGGTTAGGCCTGGTTTGGGATTCTCAGTTGGCATCTCGTTCCTTGCCTCCTGCAGCAGCTTTTGCCATCTGGTGTTCGATCAGCACCAGGTGACTAGTTGGTTCAAGTGAGCGAGGGAGCCTGAACTTTGCCTGCATGGTATATTTCCTGGGCACTCTACTGGCTCCTCTGATTCCATCTATTTTGCCACTGCTAGGGCTTTCAGGTTTGTGCCCCGAATGTACTTCATCAACAATTACTTCACCAGCTTTCTCTTCAGGCTGTTCAGGGTTTGGTTGTGTAGTGCCATCCTTCCCCATTGCACAATGTGTGCACAGACCTCTCAGTTCTAGTTTTGGGTTTTGTGTCTATTGCTCACTAGGCTTCCCAGGGTCAGTGGTCGGGTCTGCTCCATTAAGCGCACAACATGGTGTGCAAGTTTGTGGCAGTCCCTTCAGAGGACTCATCTTCTGGCCTCTATCCCCCAGCTCCATTCTGACTGCTTCCTGGTGATTCATTCCCTGAACTGCCAGGGACTGCTTCAATTCCCTCTTTCCCCTCTTGGTGCTGAACTAATGTAGCTCGGCTTCTGGTTTATTGGGTTTTGGTTTTCCACAGAGTTTACTACCATTTGCTTGGTGTACAGGTGGCTGCGTTGGTGCCTCACTTGCCTCTTTTGTTGTGGTGACAGTATAAAGTTTCCTGGTGCTCCTTTTGCCTCTGTCATCTTTCTTTGGTTTTGTCCTTTTTGTTCTGGTTGATGATCGGCATCTTATTCCTAATACTGTTGCCTCTTGACTTGTCTTCGTTGGAGCCACTCTTGTTGGCATTTGCCATCAATACTTCCTCGGTGCCATTTCACAAGTTTTGTGCTTTCTTTCACCTCTGACTAGCTCATGCTACTCTTGCACTGTGTTGGTCTCTCAAATAGGGTGCTAGTGTATCTTTCCTCCCCTCAGTTCACTGTTAGACCTTCTGTCCAGGCTATTTTTCTTTGTGTTGTCTTTATTGGATCTCGCCTCCAGTTCCAGGGTTGAGGAGATTCATGCTCTCCTCCAGAGGCATGGGTTCTGTTCTTCTGCCCTGGGGGATGGTTTCTTCATTTGCAGCCTTCATTTTCTTTTCTGGCCAAGAATGAATTGGTTGGCTTCTGTAGGTCCTCAGGTGATTGATGCTTGGTTTGTCTAGCCTGGGGTGTGCATTTGTTGTGTCCAGTGGACAAAACAAATGACACAAACCCAAATTCTTATTAAATCTCGACAGCCTGCGGTCTAGCCTTGTGCCCCATGATGTTTGTAAGTTTGCCGCTCTCACGGTTGTGTTTGCCCAATCCATCCTCCTGTTTAGATAATATTTTGTATAACTATGTGCATCAGAGTACAAACATTGACGTACTAATCAATTAGATAGTAGAATTTTGTATTGTTCACTTTATAGTCCAAAAACAAGAAGCAAAAAAACAAATATTCCTAGGTCTTGTATATCACCCACATTAGGCCTCAGATATTGTATTAAGCTTAGGAAGGTTAGGTTAAGTTAGTTTAGTTTGTCTTTGCAACATGAGTAGAAAATCTTTTTCTGGTTTGTCCAAATTCAATAGTACCGATTTCTACTTTCTAAATTGCGTTGTATGTCAGTATGGTCATCATTCTTCCAGGTACTATCAAAAAGGAGCATGGGCTGGTTTGCCAATGTCTTGCTCTGATATTCGGGTGCAGGGGTTTTTGCAGTCGAACAGGGTCCTGGCAGCCAGGTATCTTGTAAATGTTCCTCCTCGTCGGCCTTGGGTCGTGTGCCACAGCCTGTGGTTTCTTTGTTATACCTGTGGTGCCCCATCTTTCCTGGTAAGTCCCCTTATTTTCCTTCTCTGTTGGTAGGTAGCTTCAGGGAGCCACAAGGGGCTCCCTCTAGAAAACCAGGGTTGAATATAATGAAATGCCAATTTCTGGGTGAGCCCTGGTAGTGCCCTGACACTCTCCTTTCCCCAGGGAGTCTGGGATGATATTTTGTCCATCATCATAGCGCTGAGGGTGGAGCAGCCAGCTAACGCGTTATGCCTCCCTCCTCCCCCGAACAAGGGGGGGAAGGGGCGAACGAACTTGCACTAGTTTCATGAATTTTTGATCATTTGTTTACATAGTTGGGGGAGTTCTTTTCACGATTCTGAGGTATCAATATTTCTTATAACCAGTAGTGGTCTGTTTTGTTTTGCTGACTTTGTGTTTACTTCCCAAGTGGTGGCAGACATGATTAAAATTCACTGACAATTTTATCATAGTGCCACTCCTCTCTGAGCCTCTTTAAAGGGGACCAGGTTCTGGTATGTGGTCCCCAGTAGGCCTAAAAGAACTCTGCAAATGATGGAACCTAGTAGTTTGGCACTATATCAGGATTGTTTCTTCGGGGAGCCATCAAGACTCGCCCAGAAATTGGCATTGTATTACATTTCAATCCTGGTTTTGTTTGTCTTGGTTGTTTCTCTATCAGTATCTCCTGCTTAATACTGTCTCTTCTTATTGTCCTGCTTTGGCAGAGATGCTGTTGCCTGCTTTTGGTATCTACACCTCTGCAATGTCATTCCGCAAGTTGTTTCATGCAATTTTTTTTACCTCTGAAGAATGAGATGGCTGACTTCCAGAGGGGTCCATTGATGGTTGATGCTTTACTGGATAGGCCTGAGTTGCATCATTTGTTTTCTGGTGGTGGCTCTTCACAGCTACCCTGCATTGCCTTCCTCCTATCACCATAATAAGCAGTGGGAAATGGCTTTGGCTAGGCTGTGTAGCAGTCACACATGCTTAACTCATGGGAACTTAATAGAACAAATCTCTGCTCCTTACTGTTCAAACTGCATTGTCCTATCTATAGTCGTACACCTCATATAATGTCCTGGTTTTCAGGATGATTGCAAGTCTTCCTTTCAAAGTTCCTCTGAGTCACTTGTTCTTTGATGAAATCTTTGGTGAATACGATACTTTTGACATCACTCGTTTTATGTCTCTATGCTCTCATATTGGCATTTTGAGTGATATTTAGGACCTTTTGAATATCTTTTGATATTGATGTGCAAAATAGTTTTCCAGACTTGGTAATTTTTTTGTATAACTTACTATTTTACTCGACTCTGATTGCAATTTATCTCATGCCCTTCCTCAGCAATAACATCGCTAATGATCAAATGCTGCCACTTTGTCAACTTTTTGGAAGTTTCTCTTTTCAGTAGTATGTCAGTCTTGTTCTTGCCCATCTTGGTGGCATATAAAAATGTTAATAGGTTTTGAAATTGCAGGAAGGCATGCATTGAATTGTAAAATTTTTATAATGTATTCAAAATATGAAGTACAAGATGTAGCACTTGGTGAGAGATCCGTGCTCACCTGCAGCTAAGGACAGACTGATACGCCATTGAATATAGCAACCAAATATGGCAAGCACATTTTTAATTGTGGTATAAATTTGTTGGCGTTGAACAAAATGCTTCATAAGCTGTGGACATAATGAATTACCTGTTATCTACTGTACTTACATTGATAAAATTAATTATAATATTGGCTGTACATCACTTCAAAGTTTGTAATATATATTTTTACCTTATTGTTAAGACATGTCAAGCATAAAAGACAGGTTAGGTAAATAATAATTACATGCAACTCTTTTTCTTAAATGTTTTGATAAACTCATTCTTTGTATATTTTATACAAGTACTTATTAATTTGAGGTAAACAGTTTTACATATTTTTATAGGATGGACTAGGTAGAAATTTACCTATTTCCAGTTGTACGCTACTGTGTGATAGATGTTGGGTACTAGCAACGTAATGCGTCATTTGGCTATTGTTAACAAGAATGAATTTCTTCAGTTAATATCCATAATGTAAATCAAGTGTAAATACAGTATACTATCTTTTTAAAATTTTGATCATAAATTTAAAAAATCTATTGTGTGTTATCCTGATGCCCCTTTATCACTTTAATCCAGAATATGCTGCTGGTTAAAAGTAAATTAAGATGTTTTATACAACAGTTCAGCTTATTGGTCCCACCTAATGTATCTTAGAAAATAAAAGTAAATATGCAAAAGAGAATCATCCCCAATTTTGGTTTCAGTGATAGACAAGTTGTTTTCCTTGACCTAGAGTATAAATATCATAATTTCAGTGCTATGTAGTTTATGTATTCTTATTGTATTTTTTGCCTTTGTAAGATTATAAAAATTTTAACTTGCCCAAAATTACTAAATAATAATACTACTGTATTATGAGTTTATTAATGCATTTTATTAATAATATTTGCCCCTGATATACATACTTTTCCAGATTTACATTTTGTTTAAATATAAATATAATTACATTTGCTTTGCTCAATTAACACTTGAGTGTGTTGTTTCAATGTACTTGAGGAAATTCTGATTCTCAATAAAATATTAAGCATTCTTCAATTTTCTCTAAATACTGTGTATATTTGCCACATCTTGCACACATACATGCAAGTATTCATAACTATGATACCCATAGAAAGATGCTGAAACCTAGTTGCAGTTGGAGAAAATTTACCAAATGATTGAATTACAGTATTTTGTTTATGTAATAATTATAAATTTATTTAAATATAAAATTATATGTGGCTGTGTGCCCTTCTAGAGATATTGGGTATAGGTCTGAAGATGTAGATTGGGTATGAAGTCGGCCCTCAATACGAGCATGTTTGGGGTGAGTAAAATTTCCTATTCTCAAGTACATTTTTTGTGAAGTTGGTGTGAGTTTTACACACTTTCTGGGGGAAGCCCCTATGGCTCCCTGGAGCTTATCCAGGTTGATATACATATATTAGACTTTGGCATCAGTCAGTGTGAATGGAGTTCTTAGGCATACCGGGACCACAAGGCAGAACCTGGCCCCCCTCAGAGAGGCAGGGAGTGTTATTGTTGTTGGATGGAGGTGTCAAGGTGTTGCGCAGCCAGCTTAACTATGCAGCAGCCAGTTCCTGTTTCCTCTGTGGATGTTGTACTTTTGTGGGGATTTCCTTTTATTTTTGTTACATGCCTGGTGAGGGTTTGTCTTGTGTGGCTATAGGACCGCTTATATTGTTTTGGAGGTCCTCCGCTAGGTCCCTGTGATTGAACACGTCACAGAGGTTTCAGTGTGTTGATCATCCCCTTGTTAGCTTTGGGTCTAACTGGTTAGCAACACCTTGCCCGGGTTTCCCATAGCAGTCAGCCTATGGGCCCTGGAAAACCCTGTCGGGGCTCGACAACGAGAATGTCTGGAAGAACAGTTTTTATTTGGCCAGTGATGTCTGAGTTGGGGAGGACTATTTCACATTTGGATGTATTGAGAATGAGGCCCTAGGGTGCTCCTTGCTCCTGAATTTTCCTTTTTTATATCCGCCAAAATGGTACCTGAGGTTCCAGCGAGTGTGTCATCGTCCAGGTACCAGATGTTTAGCTCGCTTGTCAGACTATCAGTGACCTCTTTGATAGCTAAGCAGAACAGGAAGGGGGCCAAGGGATCACATTGTTGAACTCCTTCACAGGAGTCTATTTCATGTTACCCAAAAATAAGATTTAGTCCCCCCACTGTTGCACGATTGGATGAATGGGTAAAAAGGAAGGAAATGGCTGTGTACAGTCCCAAGGACAGCATCTCTTGCGACTTGATTGAAAGCATTTTTTAAAATATATATATTATTATATATTACCTATGCATATAAACATATGAATATGTATACAATGTATGGAGATTTAGGAGGATGCATAGCTAAAGTACAATAGGGACTCTAAAAGGAGGAAAGGGCAATGGCATTTAGGGTGATTAAAGGACTTTATAGTCAAAATCAATTAGTGAATAACATTTATTACCCAACAACATTGTGTTAAACTGTGACGTATAATTATTTACTTATTTTAGTCCTGGACTATATTCAGGACGTAAGTATACTTGCTGGTTGAAGAGTAAAGCTCTTGTGCTGCCCCCCCCCCCCTTTCTCCAGAGTATCAATTTGTCATAGTGAGGGGGCTCACGTATGACTCCATATGGCCGGTGAGGTTTGCCTTGGGCCCCTTTCTCCTGCCCCTCTCTGGGATGGTTGGGTGTCCAGGCTGGGATGAAAGGGTGAGAGAGGTGTTTGAACATGTGGGAGAATGTACGATGCAGTAGGATTACCCTGTTGAAAAGGGGGATCACCACTTGGAACGACGCATCCCTTCCTACACTGGCCAGCACTCAACCTCCCTAACTGCCCTGGTAAGTGGTATCCCTTGACTCCGAGACCCAGACTTGAAAGTACTGTAATGCTGTATGGACACTGAACTGACTATTCTTACACAGATTCGTGGGTTGGGCGACCAGCCGCCCGAGTCGGCAGGCTATGATGGACCCAGACCAGGCTCCTTTGTTGACTCTCCCGACTGACCCTTTCTGCTCCCTGCCCACTTCCATGGCATGGTTGAGCCCCAAGCCCCCAGTGGTGACCACTTCGTCAATGGAGTGGCTCCATCTCTCATTGTGACACCTGTTGCCTCTCCCCCCCCCCCCCCATACTGGGTGAGCTTGGTACCATAACTTCCACACTCAGCCACACACAATTCCTCCCAATTCGTCGACATTCCAGGATTTGTTTGGTCCTGCCAAGTGAACTAAGCATTTTGATCTTTCTCGCATTGATCGAACACATCCTGATGATTTAAACACCAATAAACAAAGGGTTGATTCTGTTGATACCCATGTCACTTTTAACCCCACCTGGACTAGCACGTGTGTAGTTACAGCCCCTTTCAGGAGGCAGCAGACCTCCTGGCATTGCTGTCCTGCATTGGCGAGACCTCAGTGCGGGTCTCCAAAAATACCAGGTTAAATGCCAGCATTGGCACAGTCATTCTCCAGCACCATGTCACGACTTTAAATAGAGAGCTGAATGACTGTGTCATGAGGATATGAAATATATTCTCAATTTTTAAGGTTATTCTGTCCTCCAAATTGATACGGTCACTCAACCCACATGGTCGTTGTCGTCAAAATCACTTTTGATGGTAGGTCCCTTCCATCTTCCATTATTCTTGTTGGAACCAGATGCTCTGTTCACGAATACATTCCCTCTCCTCGCCTCTACAATAGGTGTTGGAAATTGGGACGTAATCTCTTGCGATGCACAAGCGAGGTGTCCTTGTACCACTTGTGTGGAGTCCCAAGTGCTCTTCTCTCCAGCCTTGCTGTATTCATTGCAGTGATGCCCACCTTGCCTTCTCCTGCTCATGCATACACTACACATTTAAGGAAACCATTCTCAATTTAAAACATTGTGATCGGATTTCTTTCCATGAGGCAAGACATCGGGTTCAACGCCTTAAATCTTTCTCCGACATTTTTTTTTTTTTTTTTTTTTTTGAGATATATACAAGAGTTGTTACATTCTTGTACAGCCACTAGTACGCATAGCGTTTCGGGCAGGTCCCTGGAATATGATCCCCTGCCGCAAAGAATCGTTTAACTTATCGTTTAACCCATTAACATGACTTATGCCAATATGCTCGTGTGTTGCATCTTATTTCTTCCCACCCTTCACCCCTTTCTCAATTCCACAACCGTTTCTAGGCCTTATACCCCAATACCTCCACCAGCTCCCCATCTTCCTCTCCTCTCCTGACCCCGAGGGGTCTTCCTCATAGTTCAACCCCCATGTGTTTCCACCCTCCCTTCCAAGTCTTCTGCCGTTCAGTTCAGTGTCACCTCTTCTCTTCCTCCCTCTTCTCTGTCCCCCGATGCCTTCCGTTCCCAGCCCATCTTTCTTCTCAGCCCTCCCCTCGTTCTTTTGGCCATCCATGACACCTGACCTTCCTGGCCGATATCCATCCTCCTCCCGGTCGTCTCTTGTGTTATCCGCTCTCATTCTTCCTCTCTTGCTGAGACTATGAAAACTGTCTCCATACAGTACATTGCTGCTGGCACGCCTGTATCTCACAGCCAGAAGCGTAAACCTGGCTCCTCTCCATCTTCCTTACAAGCTGGTAAGAAGGCGTTGGTCCATCCCCTGCTTTCCATCTTCAGCTCTTCCTGCAATACCTCCACCTTTCCTCCCTCCTGTCTGGGGGAATTGATTGGCCCCACTATGGTCAGCGGGGGTCATGCTGAATGAATGAATGAAACCTGAAGTTTTCTTGGTGATCTCTATAACAGTGACCATTTCCTGTGGACCTTGATTCTCCCTCTGATGCAGTCTTTAATTAAGTGCACACTGTTTCAGTCCTTTCCTATTCCCTTGATCATCCATCTCAGACTGTCAGTCTACCATTGTCCTCTCTGGCCTCTCAACTCGACCGTCTTTGTTTGATTTACCTAACTCTGATTACTTGATACTCTGATTACACTGAACTTGATCCTCCCTAGTATCCCATGTTCATCTTTGACTTCAGTTTTTTCTTTTCTCTTTAATTTTTTCCTATTATATCTCTTTTTATGACAATTTTTTTATTAAGACAATTCATCAATGGAATATTTGTGGCTTTTATGCAAACAGAAGTGAACGCACATTTCTGATCTCTCGGTGTTTGTTGCGTTGTATATGTCTCCAGGAGCCGATGCTCGGCGCTCATCCTGGTCGCTTTTTTTTTTTTTTTTTTTTTTTGAGATATATACAAGAGTTGTTACATTCTTGTACAGCCACTAGTACGCGTAGCGTTTCAGGCAGGTCCCTGGAATACGATCCCCTGCCGCGAAGAATCGTTTTTTCATCCAAGTACACATTTTACTGTTGCGTTAAACAGAGGCTACAGTTGAGGATTTGCGGCCAGTAAATCCTCCCCGGCCAGGATACGAACCCATGACATAGCGCTCGCGGAACGCCAGGCGAGTGTCTTACCACTACACCACGGAGACTGCTTCTGCGGTTATTCTTTTTTTCTCTTCCCCCTCCAGCTTTTGCTGGGGGGCCTCAACTCTACTGCTCTCTTAATCTGTAATGATATTCCCTCTGTCCCACTACTTTTCCAGTCACGCATTCATTCCTCTGCAGCCCATATCTTTGTGAGTATCCACTGTTCCATTTATCTCCTCTCAAATGTTCCTCTTTCTCTTCCAGATCTTAAACAGGTGTTGAACTCTTTACTGGTGCCTGTGCTTCTTTTGGGTGATTTTAACTGTTAACATGCCATCTGGGGCAATGTTCTGGCGATTTACCATAGGCATCTTCTTACATCATTTATCTTCTCTTCTCTGTCTCTTCTGAATTCTGGTGACCCAACCCATGATGATGCACACACTCCCATAATTTCCTGTCTTGATCTTTCTCTCTGTTCTTCTTTTATTTACTGTATTTAGAGCTCACCTGGAAGTTTCTTGATGACCTCCATAACAGTGACCATTTCCCCATCCACACATATCCTTTTCTTTCCACCCTTCCTTCTCCTTTCCTAAGTGGTGGTTTGACAAGGCCGATTGG